CGAAATTGAATTTTTAATTTATAGCGGAAAGTGTCATGAAATACCGGTAAAATTAATGTACTCCAGGACAATTAAGGAAAATAATGCTCAACGCAATCAATAATATAGAAAAATACACGAAAGAATACGTGAACAACCAGAGAACATTTCACGGGATATAGTGAACATTTTCCTTCACAGCTGCTTTAATTTATATATGTAATTCATGCACTATTTTTCACGCAGGCTTTCATTCAAAATGCAGATCCAAATTCGATTTTTTTTTAAACGTACGGCAAATTTCGTTTTACAAAACTAACAAAAGAATTCATCATGTGAGACCCAAGACGCCCATTAACCAAACTTTTACAAAACACTGTATATGAACAGTACTCTAAAACTGCAAATTTAACAACAAATGAAGCAAGCGTGACTGCCAGCGACATCTACCCGAATCAGCAAAATTTTGTAGCAGACGAAGCAGCAGAATTTTTTACTGCTGATTCTATAGGTTACCAAGAATCCAAACGAATGCCACATTTTGTTCTGCATACGTGGAGCTTTCAACTCATAATGACGATGTTCTTTTTTGTAACTAAATAATTTCCAGTATTTTCCGGATTCTTTACTGAAAGCCTCTTCATTATTGTCGCATATCGTATTTTCAGCATAATTCTTGCTGACCCGCGTATTAATGTGAAGTTATGTAAAATCATGGATCTTCCATCATTTTAGAAAAAAAAATCGATTTGGAAAACTATCTTGATGATTTCTACTTCTCTTCCGCAGGATATTGGTAAAAAAAAAAAAAAAAAAGAAGGAGCTGAATGCAAGAAAGGCTGAAAAATACCTGTGGTGAACGAATTCTCTCATGCAAAGTTTGGACGGAAATCCTCGGGACCGAGATTGTGGTGCAAAATAAGTGAAACTTATTGAATTGTCTCTTTTTGTTGCTCAAATCGCTACAAGAACGTACGAAACGCTTTTCAGTTTCTGCATCGATGAATTTGTTCTTTGTTTCGTGTTTGTTTTTCAAATCACGATTCTTTCATCGAAACTGTGGTCTTATATATGCTGTTTATGCAGAGCGTTTGTTGCTATGCTCTTTGGAAAATGTTATTCTTCGTAAAACCGGTGATCGAAAAATGAAGCTTTTTTCTAGAAATCAAACTACACGTATTTCATTTCAATCCATTTCGGTTTGTGGCCCTCTTTTTATACACATGATGATCCTCAAATAAAATTTAAAAAATTGATGAGGATTTTCACGCTCGGAAATTGTCACACACTGTGACTATATGCGTGGCTTTTTGTAAGGCTTGAAAAAATATTCAAGGTTGAAATAATTGACAGCAACCAAATGTTCTCGGTATGATCTCTCTTGCATTCCTGGAAAATCAAAACAAGGATCCCTTGAAGGCATCACATCGTCTTCAATCAATCTCGTCTGTTGACTCCGTCATCAGAGTTATTGTCCTTAATTTTTGAAGGCATGTCCAATTCTGCCGAACAAAATCATTGAAAGAATTCCTTCCAAAGCCACACCATGCGTATTTTTCTTCTTTCTTCTTGTTTTGTTGTTGACCAGTTGTTCAAGCCAGGAATAATGAGCTCTTGTCTGCTGGTTCAGAGCTCGATTAAAGATGCTTTCAGACTCTCCATAGGCATCAATGTCCTCAATGAAGCATCCCACATTGATCGCAAGTAAGGATAGAAATACGCACAAGCCCCGTGTGCAATGACCAGGGAGAAAACGACGAGGAATCCGTCTAAATTTGAAATTTTTAATTCGTCTTCGGTCAAGGATACAATCGAAAGAAAAAACTTCTTCGACACACGCTGCTACATTATGTATATATAGGTGCTATTGAATCATGGATGTCCTCATAAAGCATTTCTTTGCAGGTAATAATTTCACTCTTTTCCTGTACAGTATATAGATAAACGGACAGCCCAAACAAGCTTTTTCTTTTTTTTATTCAGCACGTTTTTCCCTTCTACAGAACTCAATTTTTGCTGTATAGGGTATTGCAAATGAGGATTTCCTGAACTCGTGGTAGAAAACGCATTTTTTTAAATACATTCTATTGAAACGGGAATTTAACATTTGACTGTGTGCAGAGCACTTTTCTTTCAAGACTTTGCAGAAATATTCCAGAATTTATGTTACAGTAACTTGAAAATACGTAGCTTTACTGGAATTGTTTATTTCCCAGCACATGTACAGTACGCATAAAAGGCGCGGCTGAATTGAAATGCAATAACACGTAGACTCAAACGAAAACTTCATTAATTTCCTGGACATTTTCTCGATTCGCACCCCTTACTAATCAACTGCACGACTTTTTCTTTCCAAGTTCACATTTCTCTGAATAATTTTCACTCAAGATCATTATAAAATGGGCGAGCAGAAAGTTAAGCGACTGCATAAAGGTTTTCCAATGGTTTGCAGTTACAGTATATGATATCAGGATAGAACCAATTGACTAAATCAAATTCTTACACATATTTTAACAATTTAGGGACACGGAAGCTTTTAAAATATGCACTTTTGATTTGATCACGGGAAGTCAATATATTTCAACACAATATGGACATTTTGGGAATTACTGAATACTGATACCTCTGTACAGTACATAGAAATATGTTGGCATTCTCTGTAGAAAAAAAAACATTAAATGAAAAAGAGAGAAGGAAGTCCCTCTACGCTCGAGGTAATTTTTTAAATTAGCTAAATGGATGGTAAATTGGTGAGAGAAATACCCAAGAACTTTTCTTACATCAATTTTAGGGTTTTCAAAAAAATCGAATTTGGATCTGCATTTTGAATGAAAGCCTGCGTGAAAAATAGTGCATGAATTAAATATACAGTATAAATTAAAGCAGCTGTGATGGAAAATGTTCACTATATCCCGTGAAATGTATTTGCAATTTTATCACAAAATATTCCTATGTTGAGTCAGTGTCCTCATGTCAGGCCTTTTTTATGAATTTTGTATGGGAAAATAAGTGTCCCTATGTTAAATTGTCCAAAAGTCAAGGTGTCCGCATGTGGGTCTCACTGTATATACCAGTGCATATATGCAGGTCAGTGAGACCCCAAAATGTGGACACCCCAATAACATGCAGACAATTTGACTTGGGGACACTTGAAAATTCAAAAAATTGGGCCCAACATCTGGGCAATATCTCAACATATAGACAATTTTTCAGCATTTCTAGAATTTTGAAAAATTTTAATTTTTCAAAATTTTAATATCTCTTGAAAAAATTGAGAAATTCAATTTCAAAGAAGTTAACAGTGGATATTAGTATATATTTACTTGAAATAATAATAAAAACAGGTTAATTTTGTGCTTTTTTCACATTCTCTATCATCTGTGCCTGGGATAGCAAGACAAGACTTATACATTTTATATACTGTATTTTTCAGTACTTCATGCCTACAATTTTCTGTGTGGGTTTCTCTGTACTGAATAGTTATGTTCTGTACATTTCACTTGAGAAACATATTTTATTTGATTTTTTGGGGATTGATTTATTCCTAATTTTGCATGAACTAGAGAACCAGCAATTAAACAAGTTCCCATATTGAAGTCTATGGAAAAATAAAGTCCGACATGCGGACATTCCAACATAGGGACACTGTTCAGGCACCAATCATGTCTGCATTTTGGGGTCTCACTAAATTTTAACGTGGGCAAAGAACATTTTGAAAAGTGATGATATTAACTCTAAAATCACATCCATATCCAAGAAGACTCAAACCAAGGAAGCATAAGACCAGCATAACTCAAGAATACTAACCTATACTTCACATTACAGAGAATCATTTGTACCGTATAGTATTTATCACAATTTTTTAAAGTGACTTTTGAACCGAAATCTGAATTTGAAAAGGATACAAAGCACTTTCTTCTGAGGTCCAACCAGCCAAGGAGTGCACAAAACCATTTGCATTCGTAACAATGCCAACACAATGAAGTCCTTCAGCGCAGACGAATTATGCTGTGGCTCCATTTTTCCAAAACTTCATTCACCGAAGAAAGAATTCCTCCAAATCCAAACCGAAGTTTTCCAAGACACAGGAGAGGGAAGAAAGGAAACTGATTTCCTTTGATTTCACCAAAGACTCCATATTCTTCGACCGGACGAAAAGAAAATTCGACAGAGAAAAGCGAAGTTTGCAACGTCACGCGTGTGCGACGGATTGCGAAAAAAGCTTAGCCTTGATGATTTTCATCATGTCAGCGTAGAGGAGGGAATTTTTTGTCTCATAATTGGATATCGAAAAATTGCATCGAAATGTTGAAGAAAACCTCCATCATGCATTTCTCAATCAATTTATATACAGGCGTGGAATACTGAAATCGAAACAAGAAATTGCTCAATATATATATATATATATATAAAATAGTAAAACACCGGATTCCACACAATAGAATAGGAAAAAGGGTGATTAAATTAACCGACTTTTTTCTCTCCCGCCTTTTTCTTTTCCAGTTCTGACTTCATCAGCATTAGCTTCCTTTTCAGCTTTTCTTCTCCCGATCCCGGCTGCAGCTCCGACTTGAACAAGTCCAGTTTATGTTTCAATTTTTCCTGCTCTGAATTCATTTCCTTTTTGGTTGAGCTCTTCGACCTCGGATATTTAGAAGATTTTTTATTCAAATCCGGCTTTTCTGGTGGGATTAGTGGACTGTCCTCACTGATTCTGGCTGATGCATCAGCTGCCTTCGGGAGAATCGGTGGTAATTTGTTGAAAATTGGGGAACCTTTGTTTGACCCTGGAAAAAGTAATAAAAACGTGTGAGATGTGAGAACCCAATGTACGCGCATAAAAGACAAAAAAACTAAATTTACGTCCTTTTATAGACGAAAATCTTTCCCTGTAAACTTTTTTTTTTTAAGTTTTAGATGTTATACGCGTCACATCCATTCCTATATATGTATATATACATTTTAGAAATACTGTACTGTTACGAATGGTATTTGTAACCGCGTATTCCCATCATTTTCCAACTGTGAACGAGCACGTGTGTGTGTGGCATCTATACTTTACATATTGCGACATCTATGAAGCTCTCGATTCTCAGTTCATCATTCTTTACTCAATGCATGAAAAGGAGGCGCTTTTGCTGTGTGCTTTAAAATCAAGTAGACCGAAAAATAACTGTTACTTCCTATCATAGTGATTTCAAATAGTGAAAATATTTGTCCGTTCTCTTGCATTTTTTTAATGTAACTCTCTTTTAAAAAAAAAATTTTTCAATGTATTGCAGTCCAATGATGAGCCCATAAAATACGGTCTGTTCAAATCCAGGGTGCGGGCCTTGCGCACATGGCGCAATTCGAGACGCGTGTAAATTCTACGACCATGCCATATGAATTAAATCAAGAGGAAAATACCACAGTATTGCGTAACACAACAACAGGGCTCCAGCATAAATTATACGTAAAAGAAATACCATTTTCATGATTATGGAAGGTGAAGTCATTAGTACTCTTTCATGCATGTACAATATATACCTACCCTATATGACAATAATATTTTTCTAAACTTATTCTCCTCACCGATTGTGCCGGGAACCTTCAGTTCGTCGACGATTGATTCTACGAGGATTTGTAATGGAGCAAATGGTTTCGGACCATCAATATCAACTGCATACTTGATCGTAGTCGCAGGTACATCCAATGAAAATCCTGGTCTGGTGTCCGTTTTCGGCAAATCCAATTTGAAGCCAGGAGCTCCAACGTCCAAATTCAAAGGAAGCTTGAACAAACTGGATGATGAAGACATATATAGATGTCGCTCTGCTACAAATATTCTGATTTTTCTTCAGTCCGCAATCTGGGATTTCAAACCACATAAAATCTACGAGATGTTCCAGTTATTGCTTTATAATGTCGAAAAATTCTGTATAATATTAAAATGGGAAAACAAGACTTGACTTGACCATAATAATAAAACGCTCGTATTGTTCCGTTTCTTTTAGTTTTTAGATGAACCATCCAGTTAGTACATTAAAAAAAAGTTATGCTGGATGTTTTCCCTAAAATATGTTTTTCTCTTCTAACAAGCTTTTATAGGCCTTAAGATTGCACCTATATAAAGCGCAACATGATCGTGACAATTCGGTGGGGAATAGCTGTCGAGTATTCAATTTCAAAAAATGATGCACCAAAAATGTTTCTGAAGGAAATTTCTACAAATTTAGGAAAGCAACCTGACATGGACATAAGTATAGAAAATTTATCTTTGGAAAGCTCTTGAAAAGTAGCTAACATTCGAAAATACGAGGCATGCTGCTCTTTTTTTTCTCATATTTTGTTCTACTATCCTTTTGTGTATGGAATTGTAAGATCCAAGCAATTAAGATACAATAATCAGGTTAATAATGAAAAGAAATTCAACTGATGCATATTTCAACTCACGCGTTGCCTGCGGCGAGTTCCTTCGACAAGAGCGTGAAAACGTAGGCGAGAACCCTTTTGAAAAATGGTCTCTTGAAGCTGTTGAACTGTCGAAATTTGAGAGTGAACAGCGAAAGCAACGAGTCTATTGTCCAAAGAAACAAAATTCCGAAACTCGTTCCTAAAATCGTAGCGAAAATAGGCGCCAACATCTTCGACAACCCCTCAGCTGCACGCAATCAGAACAGCAACAACAAAAAAGGAAAAACAAATGAAATGAAAAATATAATCCAAATCACCTTGAAAATTGTAAATTGAAATCATTCCGAAGAAGGAAATGCAGCACTCACTTTTAACTCCAAACACGTCTCCATTCCGTAGTACTGGGACCATGTAAGGGAACACTGAATAGTAAAAGCCAAACGGTAAAGTTTCATCCTGTTCGATGGAATAACGACGAATTGCTTGCGGCAAGTTTTCATCCGGGAAAATTGTCAATTCGTGCAAGAACTGATCGTCCACAAATGGATTTTTGTCTCCCATTCCACTGATTTGTGAGCACCTTCCACAAAAGCAAGAAAAGAAAACAAAATTTCAACTACAATCAACACTTTGAGAGTGAAAAGAACTGCATCGTGCACAAATTCGAATTCATAAGTTTTCCAGTGACAATTAATTTTTTTTTCCCGAAGAATAAATAATAAACATCAAGCCGTGAAAAGCTCTCTTGGACAGAGATGTGTCGAGATATACAGTAGCATGTTAGATTCTCCTTATTTGTTGCATCATTCCGAAGATTTATTGCTTTATTGCATAGATATCACTGCTGGCAGCCAAATTTACACGTTCCACTGACATTTTAATTTTCCTGGTGCTGTACACTTCTGAGCATTTAAAAACAAAAGAAGACAACCTGATTCGGTTTTGGGTCGTATTCTCTATCGATTAGTGATCAATCTCGCTCAACATTTCTCTGTTCTATTTTTCTTCTTCTATCAGCAATTATTCCTGAGCCTTTTTTTATTTTTTCACCATGCGCGTCTTGCAATTTCCGAACACATTCTGGGTATTTTGTATCCAAGCTTTAAAAATGTTTTCCGTGACAAAAAAAACATGTTTGACACCGTAATGGCATCACCATAAAATGGTTCAGCGATAAATTATGAGCTGGCTTTAATTTTTCATATATCAAAGCTTCGACGATAATCGACATACGAATGTGCTGATTATAAGCACTCGATTCACAACTTTCGGTCTAACTGCTGGAATAAAGTTCCACATTCCCGGAATAGATTCGGAAACATGGAAAACTTAACTTAATTCAACTTTATCAAAATAAGGTCAATTAAGGAATGCAGAAAGCTCACAAGTCAACATTTTCATGTATACTTGCTCATATGCTGCATTCATAAAACCTTCAGAAAAAAACTGGATCTCGTGATTTCAAATTGGAAACAGCCCTGATGGAAGAACTATATGACGATGAGCCAATACATTTGATGCACTTTTCCGAGCGTAAAATTATTAAATAGCTTTCAGAAAACCCCTCTTATTTTTTTGTGTAGCAAATTTCGTTCATCTCAGAGTCGCACGATACAAATTAAATGACACATTTAATATAATGAATGAGTGTCACTTATTCGAATTGTTTCTTGCGCTTATGCAAAATAAGCATTTAGCCAGAAGAAACTGCACACACACAGACAAACCGAAGGGAACTGAGAGCACGGAATATAAAAAAAAGTCAGCAGCGAAAAGAAGAGGTACGCGATGAAACAAAAGGACTATGTGACCTTGGATGACCGCACTTGTCTCTTCTTGAACCGTGTCTCATCCTGACCCTGAGTTAATCCAGCTTTTCAAAACAAAAAATATGAATAAAAAGAGAAGATGGAAACAGTTCAATGATGGCATATACGAAACTTCGCATCTTCCAACAAGTGAGATGGCGACTCATCGCAAAAATCACTATAGAAAAGCATACAGTATCTATAGAATATTCCACAAGAAATGGATGAAATTACCACACGAATGACTTCGACTTATTTATGTGAAACCTGGTGAATGACCAGGGAGAAAATGCTCACAACTAATAAAATAGGGCATAAAGATTCACATAAATAGGGCATGAAAA